TGGTGCTCTTGTGGTGTTTTCTATCATTACTTCATTGGACCTGCTGACATGGACTCCAGAAAGGACCATCAGGTCCTGCTGGGCTGAGAGAGAATTTCCCTTCCACTGCTGCCCACATATCACTTGAGCTGGCTCTGCTGCTTTGAAGGCCACAGATCATCTGCCGCCAGGGACAGAGGGTCCTGGAGACACCACTTCAACAGCTGTGCACCGCCACGCTTCCATGAGATAAGGTTATACAGTGTGAGTAGGTCACTAGCGCGAACTTCCCGAAATAACGGGACAAACTTCGACCACAAACATGCACGCGAGCACAGATGGGCACACAACGTTCACAACAMAATAGGTGAACCACGTAACATGATCCAGGTATCCTTTATCCTTTAGCAATGTCCAGAACATACCCCCTCCTTTTTCAATCAATTGCAGTACACAGAGCTTCGGGACTCTTTCTGGAATATACTTGGCATTAGAGCATAGAAATTTGGTCCTGCATTCTTAGGGGAGAATTTCAGGTTTCACAAAAGATTGTAAAAGTCAGTATGGTCAGTGATAGCTATTASTTAATCTTGAGACAAAATGCCTAACATCTTAGACATAAAACATGATGATGGTTATAATGAAATAATTTCAGAGTACTTGCAGATGGAAGAGTTCTCAAATTCAGTTTAACTTTCCTCTGGGAAAAAAAACTTTGAGTAGATAGTAAAGGTGAATTATTATTTGTTTTGAAGAGCCCTGTTAATGTAGCTTTATAGGTGAGTGGCATTTTATTTATCAGATACATCATGTTTTCTGTTTCCRTATCTCCATATAAATGTAGCAGTAATTCAAATAGTTAATTATTATTCTTGTCAAATATTCTTGTTCTATGATTCATTATAAATCTTTCCACAGAAATACAAAAGAGAAAAAGATATGTCTTGATATTTGTAAATYGGTTCCTGAATACCAGAGCATTCTTACAGCTATCTTGGAAAAACAACCATTTCCCAATTTATGACTYATACTATGAGCTCTTATTAACCAATATTGAACAAGCAATATATACCATTTCAGAAATGCTAGGCTAATACTTCAACATTTCCAGTGGGAATTTGTTATTGTTATGGCTGAAAAAAGTTCAGTGGATTTTATTTGGAATTGCATATTTTTTTCAAATGTTCCAGAAGTGTATTTTCTTATTAAAAAAAAAAAGTGTGTCTGTGTGCGTCTGTGTGTGCGTGTGTGCATATATACATAGTTTATATATATAYACACACATACACGCACACATGCACACACACACATATAGAAACAGGTAAATATTGAAAAAATGCCTGTTTTACTCTGCAGGTCATCACTAGTACACATTTCTGCTGCTTGTGCTACTATAAGCTACACAGATAGGTGCGCATCTTTTGCCAGGCCAGTCAATGAATGAGCTGATAACCAGGATGAGAAACACAGATGATTAACCTTGTATAGGTTTGAAAATGCAATGCTAGTGTCCTAGAAAACCAACTGCTTTGCAAACGTGAAAGTGAAAATGAAAAAAAAAAAAAGAAGCAAGAAAAGGATTTTTTTTTTATGCCWTCTTTCTCTTTCGGTATTTAAATCTTGGTCAAAAGTGCAGGGCAACACTATTGCCAGTTCAATAGTCCCCTCTCTCTAGCCAACTCAAGGGAAAGGCCCAGGGAATTCCTGAGTCAGCAACAATCAGCTCTCGCTCGATTTSCACACAAGAGTGTCTCCCCTTCTTTACATTTTCCACTCACTCCCACTAGAACATATTCCTAAATAAGGATGATCACATATTTTTATGTGAGAACACATATTTTTAAATCTGCACTGAGAAACCACACTATGACATTTAATTATTTTGGAAAATATCTCAGGTCTATGAGTCAGATGTTTGATGTTTTGGATAATGATTTGATAGATTTATTTTCTAAAATCATATAGTCTTGATTTTAACACTTGCTTTCACATGACACAATATTTTAAATGTTATTTAAACTTTATTCAAATGTTGAGGAATTGAGAGATTATTTCTGAAAACAACAGAAATGTAATATAAAGGAAAAAAACCAATATCTTCCATGATTATAGAGGATGCTTTTCTTGCTTTGTCACAGTCAAGGTTTTTCACTTAAGCATATGATGCCATATGTGAAAATATTAGAAAACTACTAAATGTGACAAAAAAAAAATCCCCAAACAATATGTTTGGAACAGCTGAACATCAGTATTGAGCTGGTTTGTGCCTTATTTGGGGGTATTAGATGCAACTCTGCAATTTCCTTCTCTTTACTGATTTACAGAGATCATTTTCAACTGTTGATTCATTTAGAAAAGGTTGGGTTTTAGACTATCTTCAAAAAGGAGATTGCAATGTATACTTTACCTTGAGGGTAAGAACAGTGAACTCCATTTGTTAAACAAGTATTTACACTAATTTGTGGGAAGAAGATAAGTAATAAATTCAAATATTTGCTGAATATTTTGTAATTAGTTGAGAGGCCAAAGCCTCCATAAAYCAAACAGAGCCTTCTCAATAAACAAAAATATTTGATGGCAACTGCTTATATTGTTGTTTTGGATAGAACTTATTTTCAGTGAGATTAATGGGAACATAGCRGAAATGTACTCTATTTGACAATAAAAACCTGGCCTAAGATATATTTTGCTTGTATCTTTTAGCAATCAGAGGAAGTCTRACTGTCAGCAAAATCCTAGAAAAATACGTGGAAACTGTGTTTGATTTGGAACAACAAACTCTTGTCTTTTATTTTTTCAACTGTCCATCCTGACTTCCAGGATTAGAGGCCAGAAGTATTTGTTCAGGATCACAGTAGTATGAGATCAAAATGTGTATTTACTTTATATATCATCTGTGCTCCATGCAAGCGTACAAATCTGATCATAGGGAGGGAATTACCAGCCTAAATTTGAAACACTACTGGCACTAGTATAATACAATAATAATATTTAGGGTCACTGTAGGGCACTGTGAATCTTAGACAAAACTTGCACTGAAACCATGAGCAGGAAGGAAAGAGTACTTTTTAATCTATGTTTTCCTCTGTGACCTTTCCATTTCTCCAGCAGTACCACCTAGCATAACAATTCAGGCCAGAAGATCTCTTTTCCTCTCRTAATTCATGAGCAAAGGAATTAAAGATGTGGTTTAGGCTTAAAACTTGTGTGCTAGGCAACAGAGCTGATGGACAGTGCTCCTTACCAGGTCACAGAGTATTAATGTTAACCAATATTCCCTAACAAGGCCACAAATGCTGCCAAGCTTTTCCCAGCAGCTTCGTGTAGCAGTTTCTCATACCACTGTTCTTGACTGAAGCGTCTTCAGGGTTTCATTGATAACCACGCAGTGCCACCCAGTGTCCTCAGTGAGCAATGGACTTTTTCCTGAAATCTGTATTAAGTTATGTAAGAATTCAAAATCTMAGTGTTAACCATGGCCCTTAATTTTTATTTCATGGCCATCTTTTATTTCTACACAAGCCACAGGTTTTCTGTGTGACAGATGTCAGACCTGGGAACTCTTTACCAAGGAATATTCTGGGTGCAAAATGCTTACATGGGCACAAAGGGACAGTGGGAAGCGGGTGGGCAAACACTCCTTAGAAACATGAGTTGTCAATTACCTCAGTAACCCACAGCCACCTACACAGCTCTGCTCATCYGTAGTGAATGCAAGGGGAGGAGGTTTCCCAGGACTGTGTAATATATCCCACCATATACATTGCTGGATATTGCTCTTATGCTGTCTTTAATATGATTTTAACTACCGAAGATCCAAAGAAAGTCATTTATCTAACCAGAGACAATCCAAGGATTACCAATCAATGATTTTGTCAGGGCCTTAACAACCCTCCTAAAAGGCCTCCTTACTTAAGGACAAGCCTAAAACGAGCAAGAAAAGCTCTTGCTGAGGAAACCAGCAAAATTATCATGTTTACTCCGTTCAGCTCTTCAGGGAAATGACCCCTTCCCTCACCTTTAATCAACTGGTTGACAGACGAGTTAAGTCACAGATGTGYATTAACAGCTGGTGTATCCTATTGATATTTTATATAGCCTGGTACATCTGCAGTGTATTAATAGCTGTTGTGTCGAAACCCAGACGCCTCAAGAGGGTCAGCAGGCCCGTCCCGTCCCGTCCCGTCCCGGGACATCACCGCCCTCTGCCGGCCACTCCAACGTGTTTGGGAGCCCCGAAACCCGGTTTTGTGGCCTGAAATCCCCGCCCGGCTTCTTTATATTATCATCACAACTTTTCTATTGCTGTCTTATAAGCTCCGGAGCCACCTCTAGCTGCACGCGGGGATGTGTCCAGCCGGGTTCTGCACTTATCAATGCTTTTCAAAAGTACTTTCAAAAGTACMGTTTCCAAAAAGTACTTTATTTACATCTTTTCCACGGGGCTCCGTTTCTTTATCGCAGCAAGCTAACGCCCCTCCTCAGCGTGCCCTTGGCTCAGCATTAGGCCAGGGAAGGCTCTGCTGTCGCAGGCGGCCGCGGCAGGCAGCGCGTGCAGCCCGAGGTGAGTAACGCACACCCGGACGCCGCGGCGAGGCCGGGCCGGGCCGGGCCGGGGCGGTTCGAGGGCGGAGCCGGCGGCGGGCCGGG